CAGAGCACCTTCTTCCACATGTTTGGTGTGTCTCCCAGGTGGCTTTTGGCAAACTTTAAACAAGACTTTTTATGGATATCTTTGAGAAATGGCTTTCTTCTTGCCACTCTTCCATAAAGGCCAGATTTTGGCAGTGCACGACTGATTGTTGTCCTATGGACAGACTCTCCCACCTCAGCTGTAGTTATCTGCAGTTCATCCAGAGTGATCATGGGCCTCTTGGCTGCATCTCTGATCTGTCTTCTCCTTGTTTGAGATGAAAGTTTGGAGGGACAGCCGGGTCTTGGTAGATTTGCAGTGGTCTGATACTCCTTCCATTTCAATATAATTGCTGGCACAGTGCTCCTTGAGATGTTTAAAGCTTGGGAAATCTTTTTGTATCCAAATCCGGCTTTAAACTTCTCCACAACAGTATCTCGGACCTGCCTGGTGTGTTCCTTTGTCTTCATGGTTCTCTCTGCGCTTTAAACAGAACCCTGAGACTATCAAAGAGCAGGTGCATTTATACGGAGACTTGATTACACACAGGTGATTTATCATCATCAGTCATTTAGGACAACATTGGATCATTCAAAGATCCTCACTGAACTTCTGGACTGAGTTTGCTGCACTGAAAGTAAAGGGGCCCAATAATATTGCACGCCCCACTTTTCAGTTTTTATTTGTTAAAAAAGTTTAAATTATCCAATACATTTCGTTCCACTTCACGATTGTGTCCCACTTGTTGTTGATTCATGACAAAAAATAAAAATTTTATATCTTTATGTTTGAAGCCTGAAATGTGGCGAAATGTTGAAAGGTTCAAGAGCAATGGGCCTCATTCACGAACCGTACTTTAGAACAAATGTGTGCGTAAATCCTACTTACGAAGATTTTACGAAGATTGTGGCATTCATGAAATTTTTTCGTAACCAGAATTTCTCTTGGGTAAGTACAAATCCTACGAGTCCTCAGGAGCACTCGTACGCATTCAGTGTCGACATGTTCACACGCTGGTGTTAAGAAGTTCAATAAAACACAACATTACAGTGATATGTCCGTCATATTGATGTATGTATTTATTTATTTAATTGTTAATGGTAATTTAGCCTATTTTTTTTAGTGATTTTGAAATGAAATGTGCCAACACTTTATCAAATACATTGGAAATCTTGCCGTGTATTAGTGACATCCTATTTATAGGGGGCATTTCTTTATCCACGGGCCACAATAGCATATATAGTGCTGCTGCAGGTTGCGGGGTCCGCGCTGAGTCTCTGCGCTGGTGTCTCCCATGGATCTATACAATACATCCATCCATCCATCCATCCATTTTCTTCCGCTTCATCCGTTGCCGGGTCGCGGGGGCAGCAGTCTAAGCAGAGACGCCCAGACTTCCCTATCTACACACACTTCCTCCAGCTCGTCCGGGGGGACCCCAAGGCGTTCCCAGGCCAGCTGAGAGACATAGTCCCTCCAGCGTGTCCTGGGTCTTCCCCGGGGCCTCCTCCCGGTGGGACGTGCCCGGAACACCTCCCCAGGGAGGCGTCCGGGCCTATACAATACAATACAATACAATTTATTCTTGTACAGCCCTCGGTCACAACAGAAGTCATCTCAGAGGACTTAACAAAACCTTTGAAATCACCAACACCAGAGAAGTCTGGTCCATGTGGTCTCTCCTCGGTCCGCGCTGGTCTCTGCGCACTGGTCTCTCCAGTCAGGTCTATGCGGTCTCTCTTCGGTCCGTGCTGGTTTCTGTGTGCTGGTCACTCCAGTCTCTCCTCGGGTCTGCAGTGGTCTCAGCGCTGGTTCGCACTGGATCTCCTCCCCGGGTCCAAAATATTTTGAGATTAATCTCTGTCCTCTGAGATGACATGATACAAGAATAAATTGTATTGTATTGTATAGCCAATGCTAGGTAAGATAACGTCAATGTTTCAGCTGAAATAGATGATGCGGGGTGAGAGAGAGTTCAACTATTTGTCTGATTATCCGTCTGTCAATAATGTTAACGCAGTCTAGCTGCATCTAGCTGCCTGTTAGCAGCTAACCCATCCATCCATCCATTTTCCATCCATCTTCCCCTTAATCCATTTCTGGGTCGGGGGGTTGGCAGTCAGAGCTGAATCCCGTTCACATAGCACCAGCCCCTCACTACATGTTTATAATTAAGTGGATGTTTTCAACCAAATGTTACTTGCAGCTAACATTTGTTCACTATTTTAAATCTATTTCTGTTTGTTTAGGATTATCAATGCTTTCTGAACATGTTCACTGAACTTTAAAAAAATACAGCAATAATACCGATCGTCAATCGTGATAATTTTGGTCACAAAAACCGTGAGGTTAAATTTTCATACCGTAACACCCCTAGAACAGTGAGACCAGACTGAGATCACATCATTAATATGGTGGCTTTGTGAATATAATCACTATAAAATAAAGATCGGTGAAAACAAGAGTTTATTGTTTCCTGCTGAAATACTGACAACTCTACATTATGAACCTCTTCATGTGTCCTAGTGTTACAGCAGCACAACCCCCAGACTGTTAGAGACTCACTAGGACTTACCAAACAAACGATCCCAGACGATCAAAATGCCTCCATAGTTCTTATCGATGCAGTACAGATTTCTCCCTGAAAACAAAGCAGTTATGCCATATTTTATGTTCCACACTGTTCACAAGATTCACAAGGATCACAAGGTATAACATATAATATTGATATCCAGATCACAGTGATTGGTTGAATGATACAAACATACAAATGCTGCCCACTGAAGGCTCAGGAACAGAGATTCCAAGCCAGGTCGTGGTCTTACCATGGTGAACTCTGTGGTGCTTGGGTGTGTTGATAATCCACTCCAAAGGCCCAAGGTCTTTAATCAACTGAAAAACATCATATTCTGAGCGAGACAGACGATGTAAAAACTATGTGAGAAGTAAATGTTTCAGAGCCAGAACCAGAGACATGGGTTTAACACAGTGAAAGTTAGGTCCCTCAGCTTTAAGTGAGACACACACACACACACACACACACACACACACACACACACACACACACACACACACACACACACACACACACACACACACACACACACCACCTCATGGAGTCCTGATAAACCCTATCAAACTACATAAAGCAGGCATAAAATGGCATCCTGCTAAAAACATTGGCAAAGTGCATAAAATAAATCATGAATTGAAAGTTCTCAAAGTGCTCTCTCTCCAGTTTGAATCCTTCTCTCAATCTCATTATTTTTTATTGAAGGTCCCTTGGCTCGGGCGAGGGAGGTGCCACACAAAGCTCAGTGGCGGTGCATGTGTCACGTTTGAAGCCGCGATGGTGAAGGCAGCCCAAGCACCTTCGTCCCTGAAGCTGAGGTTCAGAACGACCACTGGCCCGAGTTCAGCTCAGACGCAGACAGAAATAATTAGCTTATTTTTGCCAAATCATATTTAATAGAATCCTTTACTTTGATATTTGAGTGTGTCTGGATGGTAATGGGATTTTTCTGGAAACATTAGAACCACACAACATCAGTCAAAAAAGCACTCAGGCTTAAATAAAGTCTTAAACATAAACTTTTCTGGGACATGTCATGTGTCAGGACTCTTACCTATTTACGCGTAGATTGTATAGATAGCCCATGCTAAACGGCTAGCTCAATGCTAACCCACTAGCTGCATGAAGCCCAATAGGAAAGTGCTCTTGGTGAAGTTTGTCTCCAACTCACTCTTGCTCCTATAAACTAACATGTAAAATCCTCTATCTCAGTAACCGCTTGTTTCACACTCAGCATTTTGGGCTTAAAGGACAACTCACCCTCGAATCACTTTTTTTTTTGCTGATAAACTGTATAAATGAGTGTCCAATAGTGTTGTCTACATATCCTGGTCATAATTTTGTCACTTTGGTGCAAATTAGTTGAAAGATCAACTTTCTGCCTAAAACCATTTGTGAGGCGCCATCTGCTGGCGACCTGTGTTACTACATTTGAATTTGAATCAGGCGCCAACACTGGCGCGGCAGCAAGACCTGACGTCAGTTGCCCTGCCGGCCAGTGAGCGTGAAGGGCCCAGTCTTGGTCACGTAGCGAGTTGGAGAAGGAATAACAGTGTATTTTCATCGATTGTCAGGTTTGCGATTCGTAATAGCCTTTAGGGAGATTATTATTAGCCTAGCTGTTTGTATTAGTATTATAGATAATTGTGTAGTGTTAATAGCGTTGTTGTTGAATATTGTAGTTTTAGTCATTATTTGCTTTAATTGTTAGATTAGTTAGCTGAATTTAGCTTAGGACTTTTGTTAATATTACTAGTGTTCTATATTGTGTGAAATTTCATTGTATATTGTACTTGTGTACAATAAATACCACTTAATGTTTTAGTGTGTGTTAAATTACTGTCTCTTTTGTGCACATTGGGGTTTCATTTCCCTTGTGGCAGCAGGTTATTGTGGCTGAGTTTAGAATTGTATTGTAGAACTATATGACCACCACAACATTATACTTTATCTTGGTCTGGGTTCATACATAAAATGTACAGACAAAACTGTGAAGAAAAGAACCGCAACATAAGCGGTTCCTGTAAGGGAATATGGGAAGGCTACCTGTGACAGGCAGTTCGTACTTTTTATTCCACTCAAATCAATATCATTCAGAAACAGGCCCCATTCTGTGGCGGTCTGCTGCCACAGCTGCCTCTGAGACAGGTTAGTTTTACCCCACTGACGATGTGTTGTTGCAATAGTATTCCTGCTAGAATACTATTAGAGGCAGCTAGCTCTACTAGCGGCGCTAACTCGCAAGCTAGCGGCTCAAATTGATAGGGCTGGGGGCCGCCGTCTGCCTCCTCTCTCTCAAGAGAAGTCCTCCACCTCCTAAGACCGCACAAAATCTATAGAGCTGGTGTCTGATCACTCTCCATCTTTGTCACAGCCAATGCTGATGTCAAGTGTCACTCACAGTCGAGACCCTCCCAACATTCACCCCACCGCCTGCCCCCTTTAGTCCTCCAGGCTACGCCCATTTAGAGTAGAGGGAAATGTGAGTGACGTAGGCTCCGAGGAGCGGGGGTGAGAACCACTTGATATACGTGATTTAGTGCTCTTTGTGATCCTGGTGTTTTGTGATATCGTTTTTGAAAAATCCTGATATGAAATGCAATTTGCAAAAACAACCAGGCTCCGTATTTGAAGTGCTAAGCTTCCACACGACTACGGAAAACAATGTAGTTCCAGCACCTGGCAAGTAGGGGGCAGTGGAACTTTACAACGCGACACACATGGCCCCCACTAATATAATCACTTCCTCAACAACATCCTCCTCAGGCCAACGCCAAGACGTGAAAGAATGCACCAACATTATTTCATTTACCAGTATGTGTTCTCAGCTACTGCGCATGTCCCAGTGTATGTGCAGGAAGTGGGGTGTGGGATAGGGCCTTTTAATGCACTTTTTTTATTGAATGTCTCATTATTGTATTTGTTTTTATTACTGATGCATATTTTTGTGGAAATATTTGCTTTTATCTGTTTTATACGTGCAGGCCCCACCCACTGCCGAAGACAGGACATGGGCATCTGTGTGTATGAGCGACAATTAACCATGATTCAAAGGTGCGGGAGAGAAATCGGAAAGGAGGGCAGATTTGCAGCCAAGGCGAAGTAGGGCAGAAGGCAACAGGGAAACGAGAGCATGGCAGAGCGGGAAAGCGGAAATAGGGGGCAAAGTAGCAGCGCCGCGACGGGCGCAGAACATCAAGTGGAAGCAAGCGACACAGTGGTAAAGCGAGGCAAGGCGAAGGAGCGGGACGGGTCTGAGCGGGCCTGCGAGGTGGCGAGTGCAGGACCAAGAGCATCCAGTTGGACAGCCACTCTCAAGGAGCGACTACTTCTGCCGAGCAGCTGTCAGATAGCTGCTGAGGCCAGGTGAATGGCACCAAGAGGGGTGGGAGTTCTCGGAGCCCAGCATTCCCCCACTCCTGACCATAGACTGTATATATTAACGGACAGAGTCAGGCCTATCTCCGCCGTTCTAACTAATGGGCCAAAAATGTGCTCTACTGGAGCTATCCAAAATGGCCGCGAGTGGTCCCGCCCACAAGAAAATTGTGAAAAAACGCATCTGCGCATGCGTCAGCCGGCGCAGCTCCATTCATTTGAACGAGAGACTTCAAAAATTCACAGCGACTAAACTAGACTGGTCCAGAACACTCAGCAGTGACACACATGTGGACCGGAGCTTTGGGCCAAGAGCCACTTTTGGTCCATCCTGTAAAGACGTTTTCAATAGGTCTGCTAATGCTATATGTTAGCATTGGCTAATTCTACTTCTGGGTCCACCCCCACAGGCCCGGGGTGGTACTGCAGCATGTCAGGGTCCACCCCCACAGGCCCGGGGTGGTACTGCAGCATGTCAGGGTCCACCCCCACAGGCCCGGGGTGGTACTGCAGCATGTCAGGGTCCACCCCCACAGGCCCGGGGTGGTACTGCAGCATGTCAGGGTCCACCCCCACAGGGTTAGGGTTAGGGTTAGGGTTAGTTAATCTGAATACGTTTTAATTGGGTTTTATATTAAATAATTGTTTTAACAGTCTCTCCTCTTGTTCACAGGCAGATAATTCACACTTTTTTCTTCACACAGCCCCCAGCCGAGCAGGGTATCTGTTCTGTTCCACTCAGGACCATTCATCCCCCTGAAACACCATTTCCATGTTGTTAGGAGCGTTAATGTTAGTTAGCTCTTTTGGTGCTCTAACTATGAGGCACAGATATTTTCCGCAAGAGTTTTCGAACACTGTGGTTCTATGTGTGTACATTCCTCCGTCAGCTGCCGCTGCCGCTGCTTTTGAGCGCATCCTCAGCACCGTGACCCAGATCCATCCTCAGCAGCGGAGACTTCAGCTTCAGCTAAACGCAGACAAAACTGAAATGATTGTCTTTGGTCCCCAGAAACAAAGAGAGAGCGTCATCTGTCACCTACAGTCTCTCTCCCTAAAACCTTCAAACAAGGTCAGAAATCTAGGGGTAATACTGGACTCAGACTTAAATTTTAATAGCAACATCAAATCAGTAACATCAGCAGCTTTTTACCATCTAAAAAACATTGCCAGGATCAAAAACATAGTGTCTAAAGCAGACTTGGAGATTCTTATCCATGCATTTGTCTCCAGTAGGTTAGACTACTGCAATGGCCTGCTCACAGGTCTGTCCAAACAGGCTGTAAAACAGCTGCAGTACATTCAAAATGCAGCAGCTCCAGTCCTGACTAGAACCAGGAAGTACGACCATATTAGTCCTGACTAGAACCAGGAAGTACGACCATATTAGTCCTGACTAGAACCAGGAAGTACGACCACATTAGTCCTGACTAGAACCAGGAAGTACGACCACATTAGTCCTGACTAGAACCAGGAAGTACGACCACATTAGTCCTGACTAGAACCAGGAAGTACGACCACATTAGTCCTGACTAGAACCAGGAAGTACGACCATATTAGTCCTGACTAGAACCAGGAAGTACGACCACATTAGTCCTGACTAGAACCAGGAAGTACGACCACATTAGTCCTGACTAGAACCAGGAAGTACGACCACATTAGTCCTGACTAGAACCAGGAAGTACAACGACATTAGTCCTGACTAGAACCAGGAAGTACGACCACATTAGTCCTGACTAGAACCAGGAAGTACGACCGCATTAGTCCTGACTAGAACCAGGAAGTACAACGACATTAGTCCTGACTAGAACCAGGAAGTACGACCATATTAGTCCTGACTAGAACCAGGAAGTACGACCACATTAGTCCTGACTAGAACCAGGAAGTACGACCACATTAGTCCTGACTAGAACCAGGAAGTACGACCACATTAGTCCTGACT